CTAAACTGTTTCTTTTCATCAAATCTTAATTCTAGAGTGAATTGCAAAAATAACCAACAAAAATTAATAATTCACAAACTAACTAAAATTAGCATATGTGGTTTAATCAAATCCATTAAAATTAGGATAAATGATTAGGTTCCCATAATTCTAAGTATTTTAATTGATATTTAATAGGTAAAAAGAAGGTCTCTAATTTATTGCCCGGTTATACTTTCAACCGACAATTATTGCAATTGGCAAAAAGAGAGTGAAAAAAGTTGCAAGTCATTGTCAAAATAAAATAAAAAAGTTGAAAATCATGCAACAAAAGCTAGTCTTTGTAAATCAAAACATTATTACATTGAGAAAAAGGAAGATACATACAAGCCCCATAAGATTAAAAATGTGTTTGTTATGTTTTCTCACTCGAACTAAATTATGCTTAGATTCGATAAATTAGAAATATCCATGAAAAATAATTACTTATGAATGTGGTAATGTCGATGAGATTTGATTTTCACACAACAAAAAGAGAGAGGAAATGATGGACCATGTTATATCTTGTGCAACTTTAAAGCTGGCAAATTATTAAAACAAAATAAAATTTTGGGAAAAATAATAATTTTAAAAGGGACTTTATTTGATGAGGGGAAGAACATGAGATTGTGTATGTATCTAATGATGGGCTCAACTCAAATGTTTGAGATTGCATGTGTATGTGGCGTTGTCATGCCAACTATTCTATTTATTGAAGTCCCATCACTTTTTTGCATAAAATCCTTATCTACAACCTAAAAACTATTTATTAGAACATGAATAGTTACATGCCATTGACATTGAATGGAGACATGTACCAGTAATTGTGGTTTGCGTTCGGTATGGTCGTTTGCCATCCATAGAATTTTACCATTGAAATAATATAACACTCAATTTTTCTATAAATTTCCGGATTAGATGAGTTACATTTTTATTTCGCGTGAACGAACAAAGAAAATACAGCAAACAAACACATCAAAGTTCAAGTTTTTTAATTATCAATGAATACATCTCGTAAGCAAGATTTCTCTGAATTATGCTTAAGTGAATAAGTTACGAGATGTCGACAAAAAAAAAGAAAAGAATAAGTTACGAGATGTCACAACTAATTATGCTTAAGTGAATAAGTTAGGTTTAGCTCAACTCAAGATTAATAAGGTTTTAGTACAAAGCTAGT